CCAGCCACCCATGTGGGCTCTGATTCCCCATGCACTGCATTCAACCACTGTGCCTCAGCGCCAGCCCTGTATCTACATTTTAGATACATTCTGAATTAATACACTTGTGTGAAAACAGCTAAGGAATAATGGAAGGAATCTACTGGCCTTCTGCCAGGAGCTTAAAAACCAGTCTTACATTCATTAAATTATTATTTATTATTATAATTAATTATAATTTATTTATCATTAATCATTATTATATATGAGATATATTTTTATACACACACACCCTACATTTTAGATACATTCTGAATTAATACACTTGTGTGAAAACAGCTAAGGAATAATGGAAGGAATCTACTGGCCTTCTGCCAGGAGCTTAAAAACCAGTCTTACATTCATTAAATTATTATTTATTATTATAATTAATTATAATTTATTTATCATTAATCATTATTATATATGAGATATATTTTTATACACACACATCCTTTTTTTTGAGAGGTTTTTTACTATAGGGCGCGTGCGCTCGCCAGACAAACAGAGAGAGACAGAGAGACAGAAAGCAAGAAATCACCCCCCAGGGGGGATGGTCACGCCGCAATCCCTTCTCCTCCATTCTCCTCTTGGGATCTTGGGCACGCACGCACATGCGCCCGGCATGAGTTTTAAGCCACCGGGTCCGGGATATGAACTGCGGTCGACTACGTGGGAGTCCAGCGACATAGCCATTACGCTAACTGCTGGTTCCCACACATTTTTTTTTTAAAAGCCAGATGTTGCAAGTGTACAAGAAAGAGAACCTCCAACAGGGTGTGGTCCTTTTTCCTTCAATTCTCCATTCCATCGGGATCCTGGGCATGTACTCACATGCCCTGTGTGCTTTTCAAGTCACATGGGCCAAGACTCAAACCCTTCTTGGCCATGTGGGACCCAGCTCTCTCTGTACAGTGCTTAACTGCTACACTACAAGGCCAGCCCACTGGACCATTATTGTGCTAAGTGGCAGGTACTATCTCAGGTTCAGACAATAAAGCAGTAAACAAAGTAGGCAAAAATCTCTGCCCTTACAAAATAGACATACTAGATAGGAAGACAGATTAATAAACACAATAAATAATTAAATGTATGTATGCTATATTAGTAAATGGTGCTAAGAGAAAAGCTATAAAGGAAGGAAGACACACAGGAAGTGTTGGAGATCAGGGATAAGTGAGAACATAGGGCAAGAAATGACTTGAGAGCTCTAACACAGGAAATCAATTTAACTTCTCTGAGTTTGTTTCTTCATCTGTGAAATAATAGTGCCTTGATGAGGAAGGCTCGGGCCCTCAGAATGTTTTTGTCACTTTTACGCTATGGGATTTTGGGTACTGACAAAGACTCTCTCCTTGAGCAAACTTGGGGTGTTCTGAATTCCCTTCTCAACTACGCCCTGACTTTCAAACCTTCGTCTGTTTCTCTGCACTATCCACTTTTAGCAAGAATCCTGCCAAGTCAACTGAGTCAGGATCCTCCTCCTTCTTACCTGTAATATTTTCTCTTGGTAATTTTCCATTCCCGATCCCCACCCTGATCCTTGCCTATAAATTCCTACTTTTCCTTGTATTTGGAGTTAAGCCCTATTTCTTTCCCCTACTGCAAAATCCCATTATAGTAGTCCCCTGCTGCTATGATTTGGATAACAGTTTGTCCCCTAAAGGTTCACATGTTGGACACATAGTCTCCAGCATAATGGCATTGGAGGTGGTGTGACCTTTAAGAGGTGAGGCCTACTGGGTGGTATTTGGGTCATGGAAGTACACCCTTGTGAATGGATTACTGCTGTGTGGGTTGTTATAAAAGATGGCAACCCACACACAGGTTGCTCTCTCTCTGCACACCTTTGCTGATCTATCCACTTTTCTCCACCATGTTGTGATGCAGCAGAGGCTGGCCAGATGCTGGACCCATAATATAGGACTTTCCAGCCACCAGAATCATGAATCAAATAAACTCCTATTTTTATTTTTTATCTTATGTATGTATTTATTTAGAGAATTTTTTTTTTTTTTTTTGGCTATAGGGCACATGTGCTCACCAATAGAGAGAGACAGACAGACAGAAAGTGAGACATCACCCCCAAAGGGGATGGCCACACAGCAATCCCTTCTCCTCCATTCTCCTCTTGGGATTTTGGGCACGCATGTACACACACCCGGCATGAGTTTCAAGCCTCCAGATCCAGGACTCGAACTGCAGACGACAAAGTGAGAGTCCAGCTACATAACCATTACACCATCAACTAGTCTCAACCTTTATTTTATATATATATATGTGTGTGTATATATGTGTGTGTGTGTGTGTGTGTGTGTGTGTGTGTATATATATATATATATATATATATACACATATATACATATATATCACTCAGTCTTAGGTATTTCTGTTTAGCAACACAATCATGCACTAAGACACACATAAGAGTATTTGACAGTCACTCTTGAATGAAAAATGTTTATTTTACAGTTCTCTAACATGTCACAAATAATTCTTTCTTTAACAGTACACAAATTCTTTGGCCTCTCAAAACCTGTTTCCTCATCTGTAAAATGAACAGAGTTGCCCAGACTGTTTCACAGTGCCTTTGAAATAGTCAAATGAGGTCATTAAGATATGTAAAACTACTTCTAAATGCATAATCTATTGAGTAAATGAAAGATGGAAATGTGAAAAAAAACACATACACAAGTATTTTATGGGTTGTGAATCTCTTACTAATGGTCAGCAGTCTCAGAACTGCAAGTAAACAATGAATTAGATAACTGCTTGTGCTGATTCCCTTCACGGGCAGGGAAAAGGCCAGTTCAAACTATCAGGGATGTACTGAGTAGACTGGTGATCTTATCTTAGAGATATAACAATTAGACTAAATGTTCCCAAGTGGACACCTATAAAATAATTATTATCTGGCATTTGTCAAATTTTAAAATGCTTTACAGCTGCTTTTTTTGTTTGTGGAACTTCAGTTCCAGGTAAAGAACTAGATGGACTGAAGGGTGGTGCTATTAAAAATATATATATTTTGGGACCAGAAGTTAGCGTAATGGCTATGTCGCTGGACTCCCACGTAGTCGACCGTGGTTCGCGTCCTGGACCCGGTGGCTTAAACTCACGGCTTAAACTCATGCCAGGCGCGTGTGCGTATATATATATTTTACATTACTAATGGCAGATAGGCCATCTTCTGGGTATTTCTATACAATAAAGATTAATCAATATAAATTATTCCAAACATACACTGTTCGAAACACAGGCATGTGTTATCTTCATATATTCTTCGTGTCTGAATATTTGATAACATTCTAATAATAATTTGTTAAGGCAATAAAAATGTCGATATACTGTACACACATACTAGAGTCTGGCACACAGTAGGAATTAAATATCTGTTGAATGAATGCATAAGTGATTAATGTGCTACTTCACTTTGTATAGACTAGTCAATTTGATTCAAGAAGTGCTTGTGCACTTAGAACACACAAATACTTGCCTAACCTGACAACACTCAACTGGTAAATCCGTATTATATCCACCTTTCAGGCTGGAACAAAACGCAGTGTTTTACACAATTCCAATGCAAAGTTTAAATTTAGTTTGAACATTAACCTGGCATAGTGGATGTTCAATGTTTGCAAAAAATAATTAGATGCAGCAGACCAGCAGATGCCATAATGGTTACGTGGCTGGATTCCCACGTAGTCAACAGCAGTTCCAGTCCCAGACCGGGCAGGTTGAAAGTCACACCAGGCACGTGTGTATATGTGCCCAAAATCCGGAGAGAATGGAGGGGCAGGGATTGTAGTATGGCCATGAGGGGGAGAGGAAGGGGATTTCTCGCTTTCTGTCTCTGGCAAGTGCACGTGCCCTACAGTAAAAATCTCTTTCAAAAAAAAAAAAAAACACAAATAAGATGTACATTCTGAAAGTCAGCTACTCCAGCCCAAATATCTGATCATATTCACCAGGTAACCTCTACACCTTCTCTGAAGTATTGGTCCACACTCGGTAACAGCCAAATTAAAATCGTCCCTTGAAATGTATCTCTCAAGATCCTCCAAGTCCCAGCTGCCCGCAAGGGGCGGAGGTGCTGGGGATACTTTCAAACCACTCCCGCCACAGGAGGCTGGGTTTCCTTCCCCGCCTCCGCCCTGCTCGCCTAGCCGGGCCCAACATAGAGCCTTGTGGCTCTTCCCTATTGGGGCTTGGTTGCTATGGTGTCACCGACCCTTAAACGCACAGATACTGTCTCCGGAAGTTAAAGGAGAATTACTTCCGGGGCTGCCCACACTTGCCATGGCTGATTCAAACTAACCTCAACAGCAACAAAAACCCCAAAACATTGTGTTTAACTTCAACAAAACCTTCCTTAACCACTTAACCTTGTGGTTTTAACACGGTACCGCATTCTCTCTTCGCTTTCTAAAGATCTGCTCTATATGCTTCCACTTGCCAGTCTCAAAAATGGCGCCGAGGGCATCAGTAGGTCAGAGGTTAGTTACGTGAGTCCTCCCGGTTCCGGCGCGGTAGAGGCCCCGGCTGGTGAGCGAGTCTCCGACACCATGTCTGGTTTGTCTAGCCCACTAGCCTTGCGTGGCCCCGGCCCGTTGGCGTTGCTGCTTTTGTTCCTCCTCGGCCCCAGCACCGTCCTCGCCATCTCCTTCCATCTGCCCGTTAACTCTCGCAAGTGCCTCCGGGAGGAGATCCACAAGGACCTTCTGGTGACGGGCGCGTACGAGATCACAGACCAGTCTGGGGGCGCTGGCGGCCTGCGCACCCACCTCAAGGTGCGGCGCTGTGCGGCGCGGGGCCGGGAGGGAAAACCGCAGGCGTAGGGGAGGGGAGGCCTGGATTTGCGGGCGCCGGACAGGCAGAGGCCTGGAGGTTGGCCCGGCCTCCCCGGAGCGCTAAGGACTTGGGGTGGAGACCGCCCCCTCACCCGCTCGTTGGCGTTCGCGGGGCGGGGCTGGGCGCCAGTGCCTGGGCACCCAAGGAGGGCCGCGTGGCCTGGGCGGATGTGACAACCAGCTGGTGCCGCCTCGACTTCGGGTCGTTGTCAGGGTGCTGCACCTGTTTGCGGCTCAGATACCTTGAGCTGTACCTTGGTTTTCCAGTAAATCTTTAGATGTTGACTATTTGTGGGGGTCGGCACCGTAAGTTAATACCGAGATACCTACAGGAAAATAGTGGAGCCAATAAAGCTTACTGTGATTAATTAAATCTCTTATTTCTTAAGCATCTGCTGTGTCAGTTCCTGTGCTAATTTACCCTATCCTGTGAAGAAGGTAGGTAGGTAGCCTCATTTACAAATGAGAAAACTGGTGTGAGGGATGGAGTTGATTCTTAGCTTTAGCAGTTCAGTATGTTGAGGGAAAAGAAAAGTGCCACAGTCTTCTCGCCTTGCTTTTTTTGCTTTTAATAGTAATCGTGCATTAATTAAAGACTGTTATTGGTGCCAAAATGGTCCCAGTATCTACTCTTTTCTTTTGGTACACCACAATCTGGACGTGGCTAAATCTCAACTATACTCTTGGATAGTACTACTATTGTAATGCCAGTTTGAATCTGTTTCGCAGTTCAGAGTGGCCTGGCCTGATCTGTGGGACATTAATATAATTGGGACGCTAATGTAATTTGATTATCAGTTAAGATTTTATTACATTTTAGGTAATTTTATTCATTTATAATTAGCACAGTGGTGGTTTCTTTTTTGTTTGTTTTATTTTTTTTCTTTTTGACAGAATGGGGCTTTTCTTATGAAATAGGTTTTGGAACCCAGTATGGTGACAGGTATAACTTATTTCTGCTTTATTTGGGAAATACAAACTATTTTCAGGCCTGTTGCTCTGTGGCTCATCCTTTATTATTCTTGTCAAGTACAAAAATTCTGTTTCCCCAAGAAAGCAAGGATGGTATAATTTCAGGGGCTTGGATACAATGTATGTAGAGAGTCGTCTTCTGACTCTTCAAGGGATGTGATTTATGGAGTCAGTGGTTCATGGAGTCAGAGAATTTGAGCAAGGAAAGAGACGCTGCTGTCATTACCAGTCTGACTGCTGTCCCTGATCTCTACTATCTTTTAGAACCCTTCATTGGCCCTCTGTTGCTCATCTGATAGTTCAGATTTCCCAGCATGCTCTGTAGTGCTCTTCATGATCTGTTCCTGAAGCTTTCCATGTTCATTCCCCCACTTTGCATTCTACATAGAGCCACCTGGGACAGTTCCCTAAGTTCATTCTCTATTGTAACTATTATGTTTATGCCTCTTCTTCCTTATTAGAACATTAGTATCCTGATGGCAGGAGTTATTGTCATTGCTTCTATTTTCAGAGCACTGAGTTTATTGATGTGCTTCTAGTAAGCAGCAATACGTACAGGAACCATAGAGTTTAAGGCCTTCCGAGAATTACATCATGCTGCTGAAGGGACCTCAACAGCAAGAGTTTTTGCATCTACAATACATGCTAGCATTTCCCCCATCATTCAGTTGCTCTCCTGTATCTCTGATCTCTTTTTCTTTCTTTCTTTCTTTCTTTTTTTTTTTTTTTTTTGAGAGAGATTTTTGTTACAGGGTGCATATACTCGCTGGAGAAACAGACAGACAGAAAATGAGAAATCATCCCCTTGGAGGGATGGCCATGCCGCAATCCCTTCTCCTCCATTCTCCTCTCAGGATTTGGGGCACACATGCACATGCACCTGGCGTCAGTTTTAAGCCATTGGGTCTGGGACTCCAACTGTGGTTGACTATGTGGGCATCCAGAACATAACCTTATACCAGCCTTCTCTGTTCTTTTGCTACTAACCAACTTAATCAAATTACAGGTGCCCTAAACCTAAATTCTAAGAAGGTAACATAAATTAATGAATTGGGCCAAGTGTTTTAGGGGGGAAAAAAATAAAGGTTGTGTGGGAAGGGTAGGAGGAACAGAAACTACAGGCACTGAGATGCAGTGAGATCTAGCTAGGTGAGTTTCCAGGGTCACCAGGAAAAGCCCAGCGACTCTGATCCTCATTGTTTAGAGCATGGAGGTTTTCCTTGAAGCTAATTAGCTTTGCATGGGGAACTCTTGAGATGTTTAATACAAAATACCTATGAAGTCTGTAATTAAGACCCCCAGCCCCCTAGTTAGGCTTTCTGAAGTACTTCTACATTCATGCTTAAGTACAGCTATGGATGGTGAGCTTTTGGGGTTTTTTTTGAGAGGTTTTCACTATAGGGCGTGTGCGCTCGCCAGACAGACAGAGAGAGACATAGAGACAGAAAGCAAGAAATCGCCCCCCAGGGGGGATGGTCACACTGCAATCCCTTCTCCTCCATTCTCCTCTCGGGATCTTGGGCACGCACGCACACATGCCCAGCGTGAGTTTTAAGCCACCGGGTCCGGGACACGAACCGTGGTCGACTACGTGGGAGTCCAGCGACATAGCCATTACGTTAACTGCTGGTTCCCTGGATGGTGAGCTTTTGAAATTCTCTACTAGAAAACTGGCAGGAAAGGCAGCAATTGCAAAAGTTGAGTTGCTCTTTGGGACCAGCAGTTAGAGTAACGGCTATGTCACTGGACCCCCATGTAGTCGACCGCCGTTCAAGTCCTGGACCCAGTGGCTTAAACTCACCCCAGCGTGTGTGCGTGCGTGCTCAAGATCCCAAGAGGAGAAGGCGGGGGGGGGTGGGATTTCTTGCTTTCTGTCTCTTTGTCTCTCTCTGTCTTCCTGGTGAGCACATGCGCCCTATAGCAAAAGGAAAAAAAAAAAAAAAACCTCTCAATAACAAAGGAAAACAAGAGTTGAGTTGCTCTGAGAGCCAGATGTGTTTCTAGGGTCACCAAAATGAGCCCTGGAATTCCAGGACTCTGCTCAGAGCAGTAAAGAATTACTGAAAGCCCATTGGTGAATGGGCTGTATAATAAGCCATCATTACTTTTGATAATAAACACCTATGGTGTCTGGGCACTTGAGGCCTCCAGCTTTCTAGTTTTGCTACTCCAAAATAGTTAGCTATGAATGTAGTATGGCATTCAAATGGCACAACCTTGTTTACTCAGAGAATAAGAAGAAGATCATGACTGCATGGATGACATGCACTGAAGGATAGGTGTATATTCAGGACAGTGAGGAGGAGCCCTGAACTCTTACCCTCACTTCTGAGAGTCCAGAGCATTTCTTGGAAGCTCATTAATCCTGCATGGGTGGGTCGCTAAGCCTTTTAATAGAAAACTTCGGTAGGGCTCTTAACTCCCTAGTTATATTACCCCAGAGAGGGATTATACCATAATCTTGAATACTAACTCAATCTTAGCACCAGCTCTAACCCTGAAACTCACATTGTCACCCTAAACCTATCTGTGACACTTGCATTAGTTCCAGCCCTAAGCCTAACCCTAGCAGTAACTATATCCATTACCTTAAGCCTGGCAAAACTATCCCTAGCTCCTAACCTAGCCCTAAGCCTTTAACTTTGCTCTAACTCTGATTTTAACTGTGGCTTATAAACCTAACCCTAACAGCAACAACAAAAACCCAGAACAAAACAGCAGCAAGAGTGGATAAATAAGGGATAATTGGGAGTAGTAGAGAGTTAATGTGGAGAGGTCAGTACTTAGCTCTTGTGGAGACTTGCCGTACAAGCATTTGGGCCCTTTTGCCTCATCAAATTTTTCATTTAAATCAGAAATTCAGGGTTTTTTTGTATGTTTGTTTGTTTTGAGAGGTTTTTGCTATAGGACATGTGTGCTCACCAAAGAGACAGAGACAGAAAGCGAAATATCACCCCCCAGGGGGGATGGCCACACCGCCATTCTTCTCTCGGGATCTTGGGCACACACGCACACGTGCCCAACGTGAGTTTAAGCCACTGGGTTCAGGACTGTGGTTGACTACATGGGAGTCCAGGGACATAGCCATTACCCTAACTGCTGGTCCTCCTGTTGTTTATTTTTAAAGTCTGTTTATTTCATGGGGGGCGGGGGCTAGATACCCTTGACAGGTTCTCAGAATACTGAAATCCCCACCTCCACCTCCCTAGCCATCCCACTAGCCAGGAACACAGGGCTGACCGTACCATGCGTGGCATATTTATGCTACCTGGAATATGAACTTGGCGCCTCCCATGTGGCTTCAGTATCACACAGTGGGACACTACTATCTGTACTACTATTGCTGGGCCAAAAATCCAGATTTCTATATAAAAGCTCCTGAACTATAAATATTACCAACCAATTCAAATTCACTGGCTAGTTTTCAGTATTACAGAGAAGAGATTAATGAGTCCACTTTTATACTTATTCAGCAATTATCAGACTCTTTCCACACTTTTTTCTCTCTTTCTTTTACTGTAGGTTGCATGTACTCACCAGAGAGAAAGAGAGAATGTGAGAAATCACCCCCGAGGCAGGCTAGCCATGCTATAATCCCTTCTCCTTCATTTGTCTTGTGGGATTTGGGGCATGCACGAATGTACCCAGCCATGTCTTTCAAGCCACTGGGTCCAGGATTGGAACCGCACAGTCGGATGTGTGGGATCCAGCTACCTTAACTTCCTTGCCACCATCTTGCCTGACACTTGGTTTATTTTAACTGCTTCCCCCTTGTCATTTTATGCTAAATTGTTTAGAGTAAATACCAGATGTCATGGTATCTAAGCCCTGCATATTTTGATATGAATCTGTTTAAAAAAATATGACTATAACGTTATGTGGCTATAATCATACCTAACAAAATTAAAGATTCCACAATATCTAATACTCAATTCATAGTCATATTTCCTTTCTTGTCTCAAAACTAT